CGAAGACCACGGATATGAACCAGTGTGTAGCTACGTTATTTACTACATACCCTTACAATAGCTATAATATATGTGTCACATCCTTTAACAATTCGTTCAAATGCAGCTGTTATATGCAGCGTATATGTAACTATACATTTTAATGATTGACCAATCAGATTTAAAGCCTGCAAATCTCGACTGAAGTTCATGTTACCTTTAACCAAACCCAAGTAACAGACCGGCAATTTATGGATCAACAAGGTCATAACAGGTTATACGATAATCTATTGTTATTATTATTGTTATACCAAAATTCAAATGCGGTTTTCAAATAGGAAAAAAGCCGTAAGCCATGTTTTTTGTTGACAGTCCCCAATATACGTACTCCACTGATGTTTATAAAAACCCTTTTCTTCCTACCTTAAGAATAAATTAACTTCCGTAAGTATAAACTAACAAACATGAAAGCTCTCAATTTTCTCTTCCCTATCTTGATCGTCTTTACTGTTGTTCATGCAACTGAAGAAAATTTTGATGAAATAAACCTTACATGTGAAAATCTTTTCAATGTATCCTCTTGCAGTGATTGTCAAGAACTAATCTTTCATGATATTGAACAAGATGAAAATGATTGCCCAGCACCCATTAGACTTGTTAATGAAATTTTCAAAGAAATTATAGAATCTGGTAAAGAAAAGGTTGACTTCTATGATACTATTTATTTCAAGAAAGGATTAGAAAGTTATTGTGATCATCCATTCATTTGTGATCCTCAAACCGCTGAAAAATATTGGACAAATATTGAACATGTTTGTGCTAAAGAATTGAGTTATAAAATAGATTGGAGCGATGATCTTAAAAAAATGGATGGAACTTCACTTCTGATCTTTGGCACTTTATTGAGTTATTATCTGGGAATTCCTGCAAACCACGCATATTGTTATAAGTCTTCAAACTCTGATGGTGATAATATCATTTACACGTATTATCTTAGTGTTACGGTTGACGCAGAAATTCAGAAGTTAGGATTTTAATAAATAATATTCTATAATAGAGTCCAAAATTTCTGCATTTACATCAGCCCAGCAATTATTTATGAATTAATAAAATAACTCTATATTTCTTTTAATTAAATAGAATTTTGCATGCCTGAAATTTACGAGAACGTTGCAGAGTATGTTAAGAAAGCTACTGATGAAGATCCGAATCCTAATTTTTCCTTGGATTATAAATATGTTTTCAAGAGTGATGGTACTAAAATACCCATTCCTAAGAAGCTTTACTGTGGTGAAGAATGTTACAAAACAGCGACTAAAACGTTCAAATCTTGGATCAAACATTACAAATTAAGTCCCAAAGTAAGCGAAAATCTTTTCAGTTCCGAAGATGAATTTATTTACTTTCTTAGCTGCTGATGATAAACGAGATGTTGTCAGACGAACATCAGGTTCTTGCTTATCACCTCTTCGTCTTCATTCTTTTATTAATTGATTTCTGTTTTAAATTATATTTGAATTTTGTGAATGGTCTGACTCTAGTAAAAATATTTGTAATTAGTGATAGTGATTATTAGTAATAATTAGCGAGAATATACTTAGTTGTTATTAATTCCTTTAAAGTTATACCAGTACGATCACATGAAATGTGGAGGGATGGTTGCGTTCAATTTTTTGGTGCGCTATATTATTTCCTATTTTATAAGGTATTATGGTTATCACTTTTTTTCCTATTTTAGAAAATATCATATGTCATAATTACTTCATGCAATAAGTGTAAATGAATGAGATTGTGAGAAAATTACAAGTAAACTCTGTAGATGTAGATCATTTATTATGACGCAAAACTGACATCACT